GATCCTTCTTCCACCACCTTTAGCCTCCCAACTGAAGTGAGGTACCCATTCTACATCTGAATGGAATGAGGAAAGTCATGTGTACAGTGCCTCTCTCAAACACATAACATTTTGCCAAGAATCAAACCTGTGACATCTCAGTCCCATATCCACTAGCCTACCCACTTGGCCATTCTACACCACCCATAGATCTTGTTAGATATATACATTCTTGCAATTTGTGCACGTTTACATTGATCAGTTTTCTTTCTTCTACACAGGAGTGTACGTGGCTGGTGCCCTGATCTACAACTCCCTGGGTGACAAACAGAAGAGTACAGAGTTTGTACAGAAGTACGCAGACCTGGCGCCCATCTGTCTCCCCGTCAACTTCCTCCGCTGTGGGTCAGACGAGCTGTTCGTAGGCAGGGCGGGGTACCTGTGTGGGGTCATCGAACTCAGGAGAAGGCTGGGAGTACAGGTGAGGGGATGGAACTAATGATGCATTACGCCAAAAAACAGTTACTGAAGCAACTGGATATGATTTTGGAAATCATAGCTATTTGTTTGAGTAACTGTCTTTTGCATATCTTATTATTTGGATGTCTAACCATGGAGTTAGATTTTCTAACTCCATGGTCAACCAACGTAAATGATGCAACACATTTACCCTAGGTTTGGGTTGTGCAGTGATGTGTTCTTTAAGGCTTTTTATTAGCAGGTCTTGATACTAGTAATCTAGATGTCTCATAATCTGAGTAGATTGAAAACATGATTTAGAACTTAAATGGTGATGGGCCAAGTGCAATTTTTTTCTAATGTGGTGGTAGAAAAGTAATAGATTTGGATCTGTGATCTGTGTTTCATTGCAAATGATGATCTGTATAACTTACATTGACTTACTAGTCCTTTCTTTGTTCCCTTGCAGGTGTTGCCCCAGACTGGGGATGGAGGTGTCCATGCCCTGTGTGCTGCCATCATCAGGTCAGGACGGGAGTACTCCAAACACCACAACTCACCCTCACCACTCATGTACGCTTACTATGGCACCGAGTATCTGGGTAAGCTTCTTTTGTTTGTGCTGTATCAACTCCTCCTTCTTTTCACAGTTGCCACTCCAGCTATTTCCCTCTTGGCCCCTGGTCAGATTTTTATGTTTACCTTCAAAGAAGGAAAACATATTGTTTTTGCTCTGTTTCTTCTTTCTCTTCTTCTTTTTTATGTTTACCTTCACAGAAGGAAAGCATATTGTTTTTGCTCTGTTTCTTCTTCCTCTTCTTCTCCAAACAAATAAGGTCAATGACCAGGACCAGATGTCTGTCACCATGGTAACTGGTGTTGGGTTACATGATATTGCAAGTTCCATGCTGAACCTAGTTCAAGAGGGGCTGCATAGTCACCATATATAATGAATGAGTTTGAGTAAGAATACATAGAACAGTATTTCTTGGGCTAGACCATGCTTTGCAAATGTTACTAGAAAAATTTCTTGTTACTCCTCCCACTGCAGGGGCAGCCCATGGTATGGCTGGGATCCTGCTGATGCTCCTGAGTTTCCCAGACTTCCTGCAGGCCGACCCTGCCGCAGACCGTGACGTGCGCGGTGCCGTGGACTACATGCTGTCTGTGGAACGAGAAGGGAACTACCCACCTGCTACAGACGAGGTCCACAGACCCAGGCCTCCGGAACATGAGCTGGTGCACTGGTGCCATGGAGCTCCAGGTAGGTAATGACTTTGGGTAGAAGGGTTTTAGTTGCTACAATGAGATGTTATATGATTAGAAGTGATGAAAAACTGTGGGTTCTCATTAAAACAAGGTATGAGAAGGACTTAGTCAACAACCAGTGTGTTTTGTATCCAATGTTTTGTTGACAGTTACCTTCTTATGAGCAACATTGACTGGTTCTGATTTGAAACATTTGGATGTTTAAAATCCCACAGGTTGTTGAATAAAGAACTTTCTTGTCAGCCAGAAATTATTCATGGAAGGTTTGTTGTTAATACAAGTACCAGTTACTACTACCGGTAGTACTACATGCATTGCAATAGTCTCTTACAGTAACACTCTTTTATCAAGATCAATAAACAATAGAGTTGTAGCATTATATGAAAAACATTCCTGTAAAGAGGCCCCATTGTCCCTTCCCACAGGTGTAATTTACCTGCTGGCCCGAGCCTACCTGGTGTGGAGGGATGACAAGTACCTGCAGGCGTGTATCAGGTGTGGGGAGCTGGTCTGGTCTCGTGGGCTCCTCAAGAAAGGTCCGGGGATCTGCCACGGTGTCGCCGGTAACGGGTACGTGTTCCTGCTCCTGTACCGCCTGATGGGCGAGCCGCTGCACCTCCACCGCGCCGAGCAGTTCCAGGAGTTCCTGTTCACCCAGGAGTTCCAGCAGGACTCGCGCACCCCTGACTGTCCCTACAGCCTGTACGAGGGCGTGGCCGGCACCGTGTGCTTCATGAGCGATCTGGCCAACCCGGAGAAGGCTGCATTTCCCTTCTCTGAGGTTTTCTGAAGTTGCTTCAAAAAAGTGTATACTAAAGTACTGGCTTTGCTGTTTAAAACAGGCAAGACATATATAAGGCAAAGCATTTAAAGCCATATGTAAAGCAAAACTCTATAACAAAGTTATATATGTTACAGGTCAAGTAAGTTAACAGTGTATACGTAACCCTCCCTAACTGTCAAACAGTTAGTGTCTAAGTGATATATTTGAATATTTTCAAACAAGGTGCCTCATGCAGTGATTTTAACAGTAATACCAAGAAAGTAGTCTCAACCTGAGTTAAAAACATGGTCAAGGTGCTTGGTTAAACTTACTAGTGGAGTTAAAATGTGCTAGGTCACAGCCATGTTTGTTGTAGACACTTAAAAGTGTTTTCATGATGCATAATGCAAAACATTACTTCTATGTATACTAAGTAGTTCACTAACTTTTTCTACAAAATGATTTTTTCCTACATATAAAGTCAACATGTGTTAATCTCAGCTTATAAATTGAACAATGCAACCAATGTTTTTAGCAATGCAAAGTTCAAAATGTGAAGTTGAGTGGGAAGATTTTAGCCTCAGAGTTTAGCAATCCCAGACTGCCTTTGCAGGAAGTGAAAGAACGGATTTAGAAGTGTTAATCTGAGTAAGCAGATGTAGGCAGCTATTGGAAACTTGTTTCTTTCTCAACTCTCAAAACAATGCATGGTTCATAGTCCACACCTGCATAAGGAAACAACAGGATTTCTGACAAAACATGACAAAGACATTTTATTTCCAATGTTTCTTGAGACACATTAACAGACACATGTAAAACATATTTGTCATAAGTGTCCATACATGTATTTTTGTTGGTATAAAAATATTTTGTTTTTGACTGAATTGCATAAAAGGTGCTCTTTATATTTTAACTTTGTGTGCTCAAGTCTATTTCTTTTTTTTTACTACGTACACTGAATATAATATGCCAACCAATCTACTCTTCCTTCATTTAATGACAACTCGTCTAGTCTACAATTATTCCTGCCTACCTTGTGTAGTTGTTGGAAACTTATCACCTGTACAATGTACACAACTCCAATGCTTGCTGCAATACCATCTTTGTCACTAGAGCCTTAGGAAATGAAACCTTACTGCAGTAGACCTTAAGTTATGACTGAGCATGTTATCATCAAAAGATGACTTGTCTTAGATCTAGCTCCTTTTGCTTTTTGCATTCCATACAATGGACAAATATGCTTTACAACGTTAACTTATTGCTACTAGATTTATCAATAGCAGGATAAAGATGTTAACAACATAATAAATACATATTAAATGTTTACGTAATAAATACAAGTTATAACTGTGAGGTATATATGGCTATATTGTCACTTAACGTTACATGCTGAAACTTCTCTACATAACCTACTATTACATCCTACAGTAAAGCAGTTCCATACAAAAATTTACTGAGCCACAAACATCTGTCCGCTCAGTGCAGGGTCCCTCTGACGAATCAGACTGATCACCATTCCTACAGCCCTGTTCACAACATCACTGGAAGCCTGACTGTCTACATACACACTGTAGACAACCACTGAATGTTCCATGCTTTCTTTTGCAAGTTCCTGAGTAAACTTGAAGATGACAGGCATTGCATCAAGTGCAGGAGCTTCCCCACAGAAAAGTAAGACCAACACTCTACTAGTGCTATCCCCACTGGTTGCACCTTCCCAAACTTGGCTAACTCTGTCCCTGGTCTTCTTCAAGTCACATGGAAAACTGTTGGTTAGAATAAGTGTAGTCACAGTCTGACAGATGGTTGCTAGCTGTTCCTGATGGTTGATGTGAAGCACTTCTGAACTCAGTTGCTCCTGAAAACCCCTGTGTAGCCTCTGCGACACTGTTGACTGCTGGTCAGACAACATGGCCACCTTCCTGCAGTGCTCTTCTTTGAGAACTCCTTCAATCGCATACAAGTCTTTTCTTAAGGTCACCTTCCAGAGGGAAGACGGCCCAAGAAGAAGTTTGGCTGAGATGCCGGCATACTTTTGTACAAGATGGAGGCACTCCGTTCCGAAGTCCAAATCGTGTTCGCTGCAGTTGTGGTAGGCTTCCATGATGGCTGGATAGCGAAAGGCTTGCGGCATCTCGCTGGCTTGGTACTGTGATCTGTCCAGAGTGTGGTCTAACATACTGCCATCCTTGGTGGGAGATACTACTGTGGAGATGAGGGGGCGCACTGCCCCTGCTGCCCCCTGCTCCTTAGCTGCCAGAACAATTCTCTTAAGAAAGTCTTCTTCAACCAAGGGTCTAACAGCGTCGTGTAAGACGACCACATCTGTACTAGAACCCACAGCCTTTAGACCATTCCAGATTGACCTATGCCTTGTTGCGGCACCGGATACTACCCTAACCTTAGACCTGGTTGTTGGTGAAAAGCTCTGCAAGATGTCTGAAGTTTCTTGTAGCCAGTCCTGAGACACGACCACGATAACTTCCCTTACCCAGGGCACGTTGAGGAAAGCCTGCAGTGTGTAGTACAGAAGAGGTCTTCCCAGGACGGAGCAGAACTGCTTGGGTGTGGCCAGCCCCATCCTTTCGCCACTGCCCGCAGCTGGAAGGACAACGCTCACGGGAAAATCCACAGAACCGCAATCAGCTGCCATGTTGGTTTCGTGACCTTGTGTCAAAGGTGAAAGGTTGGGTGGAGGTTTTCATACCTGATTACACAATAGTGTCGCCTACCTTTTCATGACAGAACTGCAGTACTCACTACTCACGACAACCAGACAGACCATCTTGGGACGTCAAGGCTAACCTCCTTGCGGGTATGTGGGCAACGTGTGAGAAAATATGACTTGAATTATGGTCATATATACGGAGGTAAAAAGTCATTCGTCCCCACGATACATGTAACGTTAATGCTAACGTTACGTTCCGGTTCACCATATTTGGTTACCGATCAAACCATATGTAAAACCCACTAGATGTAAAACACATATTGACCCCACCATAGGTATATGAAGTATAACCTGACCAGTGTTTATTATTTACGCTGATTTGTCATATTTTAGAAAAATAAAAGATGGGTAAAATTGAATAATCCTTAGCCATTTTAAATGAAAATGAGCTTAAACCATATGTCACGATCCCATTTCAATAATTACACTAGTGGTATGCTTCTGGCTTACCTTATCTTATTTTCTAAACACATATATGACAGAATACTAGTAAACTGGCTCCAACATTTATTTCAATTCAAGACACAATAGCTGGCTATCAGCTATCAAATTCTTTACTAGCGTACATTGCAGCTGTCACAGTAGCCATGCACAGATGCCACTTATTGATATTTCGTCACAAAAATAACTGATTGTATGGTACTTTTGATATACGTACACAAGGAAACTTTACATCAAGACAATAATCTATTTATTGGATGTGTAGAATCCGTAATTTAAAGCATCATACACATTGCACAGACCTGACTAGATTCGTTTGACCTTTCGTTTGACTAGTGTACATGTCGACCGGATACAATGTCTTTCCAGTTATGATTAGTAGTGTATCTTCTTTGAAACATTATTTACAAAACTTGCTGTTGTTTGTTTTTGCTGTTTTACAGACGATATTTTATGACATGGTTGAGCAGACGTTTTAGCGAATGTACATTGCAGGATGCCACCTACGTTTTGACAGACCGTACAACTGTCTAATGTTAATGCCGTTTAAACATGTGTCCAAAATGCTAAATAGACTTGCGTTTACTATCAGGTTTTCATGATGCAATGTGCTTATAGCTTCATAATATGTACTGCCTTGTTTTCAAATGTCCAAATACTAGTACTTGTTCTTAAATGCCTTAATCTCTACATTACTATACTAGTCATCATATTGGTTTGTGCCATCAAGTTGGAAAGTCAATGACAACTATTGGCAGGAAAACCGTATACCCACACTTTTTTTTTCAAAATGATTTTTTTTCGTCACGAAATCCTTTTGAACAGGTATGTTTTGAATAATTTGTCCGATGTCCTACATCAGTAGATGTTTTTGCACGGCTCCTGGCCGCCATTTTGTAAGATGGCGGTCACACAATTTCACAGCCACCGCCTTGCTCTTCGGCTGCTGCGCTGTTCCGGTTGGAAGCTGTCGTGGCGTGTTTCATCAGGTGTTTGACGTTCTCTTTAGGAGGTGGCTCGGGCGGCTCCACCTGCAACCATGGAGGAATCTGGTCAATGATACATGTTACACCCCCTAGAGCCGTATGTTACAACCTGCACACACTTTTAAACGTTACGCCTAAGCTAACATAATATAGAAAAAAAACAGGATCAGGTTTGTACTTACTGTCAGTTGCCACTCGATATCTGTCTCTGTGTCACCCCCCTCAGGCCGCTGTCTCTCCACCGTGGCGTAAGGTGGGAGGGTTGCCGAGTGGACGAGACCTGGCAGGGACGTCAGAATATTAGACAGGCGCCAATTATCTCAATATAGTTGGTACAAATCAAGTCCGAAAAGTTTGAGCAGATAGCACGAGGATATAAGAATACTATTGTCATTGTTACTATTCAATTTTGTCATTCGAAACTTTTAAATGTGGACTACTATGTGTAGGTCTAGGTTTAACTACTACGTGCAGTTTCAGCTTCTTCTCGATCTCGTTAACGTTTCTTACAAGGCAATATGTTAGATATATGTTGTATGAACATGTGGACCTTAAAAACTGGAAAACGACTATCTTGTATGCAATTATAGAGAATATTTAACAAGCAGGCCAAGCTTACCTCCTTAGCTCAAACACAACGTAGTTCTTGATATATCTTACCCGAATATGACAGGCCTACGGATGCCCAGTCCTTGTCAGCTCGGGGAGGGGGGCGTGGTTTCAGGGTCCCGTCCACGTCATGTAGCTCCAGGTCCTCTATGCCGGAATCATTCGTGCCGTGTCCCAGCTTTCTGCCGTACTTAGCATGCGCAGCAGCTGACCGAGAGGCTCGTACCCGGGGGATCTCTGTAATGAGATGTCAAATTGTTAAATTCACATTGTCAGATAGATTATTACAATATATATCCACAAAAGCAATAGATATTCTGACTATTGTACTTATGATATAACTATAGAAATGATAATGTTGTCCGTGGTTAAGAAAACGGTGGTAAGCATGGATTTTAGGATAGAAAAAGTGTCCTTAAGCCTTTTTAAGCCGCCTTGTTGTGTGTAGAGTCCCACACAAGTACAATGTACATTGTTTATTCTCAATAAGTACCTGTTTTCTTTTGAAGACAAATCAGTCCCCTGCTTCTTGCCAGCACAACCCCAATGATGATCAACACAACCAGGAGGACAACTGTGACAGTGGTGGCTATGATGGCGCCAAGAGCATTCTGAGTACCGGAGACCTGCAACTGAATCTCCTTCTGCGCAAGCCCAAACATGTTTGACGCCCTGCACTCGTACGTTCCTTCTCTGTCCTCATCCACGTTCTTCACGGCGAGAAACCCCATCTTGCCTTGGGGGGTAATTTTCTCATCCAACATCACACTCTCGTCCAGGACGTTGATCGCTCTCTCGACGCCATGTTTGTTTCGCCACAGCCAATCGATTTTCCCGGGGACAGGGTCGGCCGTGACGTCACAGACAAGTCGTGCGGTACTGCCTCTACGAACGGCCATCTTGGCAGCGCGTCCCTGTATCGAGGGGCGACCTGTGGGACAAATTTAAAAAAAAAATTGCAATATTATAAAAACAATCATGTATAGATATCAGAGTGTAAACAACAGGGTACTATATCTAGATCCTCTTAGAATGAGCCACTTCTGTCTTAGAATGAGCCACTTGTTTATGCTGAGGTCACATTTCCATACCGGGGCCCGGCCGGGCTGTTTCGATTAACAAAAAATTAACAATCTAAAAAATATCAATGATATACGAAAATAGTTCCTATTATTAATTTTTAAACCTTTTTGTTAATTTTTGTCTTTTATATCAGATTCATATTTTTCCTTCCATAAGACTGCCCGGCCGGGCCCCGGTTTTGGAAATGTGACCTCAGCATTACTGAATACATGCTTTGCTACGTTGGTCTTGAGATTTCCATACCTACAACATTGATGAAGGACGTTTTTGTAGCCTCCTGAAACCCTTTGCTTGACGCCACGCACTCATACTTCCCCTGCACGTCATAGCGCACCCGGTGGAACCGGAGTGGGTTTTCCCAGTACAGACTTGTATCCTTCCGCCGCCATCGGATCTGAGGTTTGGGGTTTCCAGTTGCCAGACATTCTAACGTGAAGTCGTCTGTCCCGTACAGAACGGTAACCTCAGCTTCTATGGCTGGATCGATCGTTGGGGGGTCTGAAAGAAAGCAAAGGAGACATTTTATAAAAGCGTTTTCTCCACTTCGAATCTAATAACTTATACAAAGTATGGTCTCTGCTGTTCAACACTATACTACCATCTACAGATGATAGTCTTTGCTAAATCAGCGTTTCTCGTGTTGCATTAAGCTTTTAATTAAGTGGTACGGGGTACTTCGATATCCGATAAACACGTAGGTGCAATCAAAAGTTTGGCCTGAAAATACTAAGACTCGGCTAAATGCTATTTTACAAGTTCTGACGAAAATATGGAAAAGAAAATCACTAAATCCTGTATCATCATGAAATTCAAAATGTCAAAACGTACCAACGCCTCTCTGGCACGTGATATTTCCGTAGCAATACAAAAATAACATTGCCTCTCAAGTGGGCATGTTTTCTAAGACTTGATGCAGTTGCTTAGTACTTACACAGAACGTCAACCGTGGCAGTTCCCACCCCGATGGGGTAGATCCCGTTGTCTGCTGTGCACTGGAACACTCCACTGTCGTGTCTGCTCAGCTTCGGGATGCGGAGGATGTGGCCGCTGATATAAAAGTAGCAAGTTAATGTTCAGAATATATTTCAAGATGACTACATTGCACAATATGTCTCAGTGAGAAACGTAAGCACAGTTAATTATTTCAGCTAAGTGTCGTATCGCCGTTTACTTCTAATCCCCAAGCTGATTATGTGGGGCAAGGGGAGCCTATATTGACCACCTGCATCCATTGCCAATGAATACAGGAGGCCAATATAGGCTCCCCTTGCCCCACATAATTTGCTTGGAGATTAGTTTACTTCTTGATCTCTTGATTTCTGTGACGAAAAATGTTTCTACATGCACGTTTCAAATATATACGCCTCCAATGTATTTCTTTTGCCTTTGATGGCTTTATCATAGATCGAAATAATTTCTGATTAGCACCACTCTATGTTCTGATTCTGCATGTATTGTATATTCTGCAAGTATATCAATTATCTTACCCGTTCCCACCAAAACCAGACATGGTGTCTCCTAACTTCTTCCAGGTAATCACGGCAGCCGGGTTGCTGTCCACTGCGCATGTCAGGTTCACATTCTCGCCCTCTCTCGCGTGAATAGAGGGTTGTAAGATCCTCACAAATGGCGAGTCTGAAACGATGTAGTTGCATAAATATAAAAAACATGCTATCAGATTAACATATAAAACGCCGGCGCATTGAACATAATCTGATTTTATTATATTCCAAATGATGTGATTAATCAAAAGAAAGAAAAAGCTTTAACCTAATTGATTACATTAAAACTAAGATCAAGAAGTATGCTGGTTTCTACAAAAAAGAGCTTAGAATAAAGTATATCGCATTTTGCTGTTAACATCGGTAGCTAAATTTGCTGTTAACTAAATTGATAAGTACAATTACTTACAGTGCACTTTTAAGGTCCGAGAAGCGAACTTCGGCCCCACGACGCCCGGGTACCCCTGGTCAGCCACACAGGTGAAGTTGGAGCCGTGGTCCCACTTGGACACTTTGGCCAGGACCAGTTTCGCACTGACCTCGTCGTAATCCTAACGCAGAGTATGATGTTTTCAGACAATAAATATCGTGTTGAAATTAGGTGCATAATCACAAGTTTTCAATGACCATTTAGGCAAACATTTCAACATTTTGAAACTTACTCCTCTAGATAACCCTACCCCCAAACAATTACAAAACGTAAGGTATGTTCCTGCGATGCCGTGCGTAACGCAATCTTCGATCAACATTTATCTATTATTGTTAGTAATAATGACATTGCATGGCATTATTTTAACTTCTTTTCTTTTTCAAATTGATGGTAGCTACCTGGTTGTATTTCACACTGACGTCGCTGTAGAGTTTGGTCCCGTTGTACCACTTGAGCTGCGGCAGTGGATTGCCGCCTACCGACCGGCAGCTGAGGTGCAAACTTTCGCCCGCCTTCGATGGAATTTCTCCTCCACTAATTTTTGGCGGGGCAGACAGTGGTGCTAATACGGAAAAAAGACAAATTTATGCGGGTGATATGCATACATGTCGCAAATCAGTTCTCAGTATAATTTCTGCTTTATTTTCCCAGTAACGAAATTCTCTTTCATATTAATCTGCATAAACAACACTGTACTATAATACCAGGTTACTTTATACGAAAAGTATCACAATCTGTACGGAAATAAGCCCGATTGTAGGCATAAATTTGCATGAAAAAAAATAGAATAGTGCATACCAACAACTACAAGCTTCACTTCCTTCGTTGCTCCCTCTAGCGTGCTGCAGAGGTACTCCCCTCCATCCTCCAACTGCAAGTTGTTGATGACTAAGTTGTATTCTCCTCTCTTGTGATCACCGACTACCCGATGTCTGCGGTATTTTCTCGACACCTTGCTCCCGCTGGATATGACTTTCCTGGGAGTTGTCACCCACGTGACGACGTCATCGGGTGAAAGATCTGGGAACGAGCATTTCAAGATGGCGGAGTTCCCGCGTAGAACGACCATGGGGGCGGAAATAGACCGGTGCTTGGCGCAGTACACTGTGGAAACACAATTTGCAATTGCATAATGTTCACCATCACATATAGTCTGCTCTGTATTATAATTCTTACTCAAATACATTCATATATATATATATATGGTCAGACAGGAGTATAAATCCCTGCTACTATATCCCTGCTACTATAAAATTGCAACATTATGTAACCCAACACCAGTTACCATGGTGACAGACGTCAACAAATCAGGTCATTGGCCAGGTCAGAGGTAAGTGTTTGGAACGAACGAAGAAGAAGAAGAAGATGAAATGTAGCAAAAACAATATGTTTTCCTTCAGTAAACATAATTAACGGTATGTAAAGGTTCATTGTCTGCAAGGCGCAGGGTCAGTTGTCACTCCACCTCGCAGCTCAAGTTCAAATTGAATATGCAAACAGTAACTAAATCTGGCGCCAGGAGTGTCTGTGTTCCGCTCCAAACGACCTTGTCGCCCACAGGACCCGTCACCATTATAGCTGATCAATAGGTCCGTGTTAGCGCAGATCTCGACTCGTGTTGCGGAAAAATGAAAGGAAAATAATTGATCCCTTGGGACGGCTGTGGAAGAGGGAGGCGGCAGTCAATATGGGTTAATTCCGACTTCACTGTTCTTACAGATTACGTGCGATCACATTCGTTGTTGGTCGTCGCACAATCTTGATGTCGCTTCGCATTAGCAAAACCAACCACTGATTGGGTGGGGGCATTTGCGTTACTATCGCGAGGATTGCCTCACTTTGTGATAGCACGATGTTCACAAGACGCGTACGAATGTAACGAAGCTCTCAATACGAATGCTTTAGACACTTCATGTTTTCATCCTTCACTCAAACAGTAGTGATAATCTTAGCTCACTGTTGAAAACGTATTGGCGCAAGTTCTAGGTCTTGTTCGTTTTCTAATTACCTCCACGAACAATGCATGGAGCAAAGTCGTAGAGTGCCTAGTCGTACTTCTAAAGACTTTGAGAGAGCTTACATATTGATGTTATGATGAACATGGCATTAAGGTCTTTCTCTGGGTGTCTCTTAATGATATAATCTATCATACGATTTACCACAGATGAAAATCTCCTATGAAAAGTGAAATCTAAATGACATAGCCACAGCTCTCCCAGGTACATAGACAAAGGAACACAACGCAACCACAGGCAAGATTGATTGGAAAGCAAAGCTCAGTAAAGACGTCGGCTGGAACTTTCATTTCCCGGCACTCCGCCAACACCACCTGATAGTCTACATGTGATTTATAAGCCCGTAAATTTTTCATTGGTTACATCCGAACTAGACTCAGGAGTAGCGATGGCTTTGATTTGATGTACGACTTGATGTTGGTTGCAGTGATACAAGTATCGGATTCGTCTATAGGGTGCTTCGGAGCTCCGTAGTCGTGTGCTCAATCACTCCCCAGCACCCACGGACAGACAGGTGTGATTTGTCTTCGGATAGCCAAGCTCACCCATGGGAGCGTTAGGATACCTCCATCCACCTTCTATCTTGCCGCGCAGCTTCCCAGATTCCCTGTGGTGGTGTGGTTATCTCGACAGATCTGACATTTGGATCTTTCTTCCGGAGTGTTTTTCGGCGAAACTGGCAATATGCATGAGTTGAACGTGTATGTGTGACGTGGGTGGGCCTGGGGTGGGAAATGTTTGGTCATTCTCGCTTCTCATCAGTTTTACAAATCCGTCAGTGGGCAGATCATAATGCAGACCATCTTTCAGCTGGCAGACTGCATTCTTCAGCTGTCGTTTTTTTCCTAAGCCAGCATTTTGGGATTTTTTTCAACTCAACTACATGTATGTACACCGACGGCTCCAACGTCGGAAACGGCTTGGTATCCAAGCCAATAAACACTGTCTGGCCGAACGCCATTAGAGTTATTCATCTCTGCAAAGATGAACCACAAATATAAGACCGGAACATGAAACTCTTGAGAGAGATTGCAAAATGGCGAATCTAACAACTCAAAAGTACTCACTTAACTCTACACGCCGTCGCTACAGTGATAACTAATTGCACTTATCTCAATCGCATGAAATGTTGAATTAACTGCCAAAAAGACGATATCATGATACAAAGAGTATCAAACACCCGTTTGTCAGAATTATTGCATGTTGGCGGGAGACTTGTAACCCATAGAGACCACTTCCCAGCTAACGAAGTTATCCCTTCAAGACATACACGAACAGCTCGGCAATTAAGTACGAAGCAAATGGAGTTCCCTGTTGCTCATTAGACACAAACTCATTGATTTTTTTGTCGTCTTTAAAAACGCTACTTAAAGGCCATTCTATCACTGTTAGGCTCTCGAGAAATTCGACAGGAAGCTCTAAATAAGTACTCTTACTTAGAAAGGTATGGATGCATTAGCGGGTGCAGAATCTACATGACGATAATTAAGTTACACCCTAGATATTAACAAGAGCCAAATGAGGCGTACTATAATGGGAAATTCAAAGATTAAAATGCTTCATGAATAAATTTTCTGATTTTTAGAGAATTGAAAAAAATAAGTCTAGAAATGTTAATCAACTTCTGTAAAAATTGTACATCAAGATTGATGCCATATATGACTTGCCATTGGTGTCCTAAATTCAATGGCAATGTGAGAATGTATGATACTCTTCTCATGGTAAATTTACAGCCTTGTGAGGATTTATGCACATAAGTTGGTAGAAAGCGTGAATCCCCCAGTTCTTAAGGCCTCCGGCGTTGAATAAAACTTTGATTAAAAGCCAGCGGGAGTGTGCGGATTTATGGCAGCGCCTGGACGCCGTCCTGGAGTCATAAATAAAGATTTTCTCTCCCTTTCCTCTTCGCGCATCTTTTGACCTTCATAGTCCAAGCAATCTATAAGGCATAAATATTCCAAAGCAAGAAAGAATGAACACGGGAAGTAGAGGACCTCATCTGCTTCTACTGCAGGACGTCAATAATAAACCCAGCCGTGTGTCCTCTTTGAAGTATTACAGACATTGTGACTTTTAACTTCTTAGAACGTATACCACTCTGTACTGAAGCTGTGCGGTGGGTATCCGTGTCACAGTGTGGGAAGACGATGAATAGTTTACGCACGTATTCTGTGAAAGAAGCGTCGGAGATCAATACTATCTCTTTACTAAGTTGTAAATCACAGGCGATGTTGCGGGCGGCACGTTGGCGAATTCTTGACCTTTGGCGTGTAAAGGGCGTGTATACAGACCATTAGGTTTTTTACGGTCAGTTCCTTTATTACCGAGAGGTGTAAGAAGAGAACGGGATGAAAAAAAAGGACAAAATTATTACAGTTTGATAACAGAAAGTAAAAAGATGCACTCACTATAATATTATGTGGGCTGTAACATTTGAAAAGGTTCGGGGGCATCAACAGAAAGTCACAATGTCTAAAATAATTTGCCAAGCCAACACAACGCCGAATAGTTATTGTAATCTAAGTGCAAAGATTTGCACGATATTCATGACTTTGTCGGGATGCCCTTGAAAAAGCTAACTAACGATCGCACTCGCGGCATTGCAATGAATCAACATGGATGCATTATTGGATTCACTTTCTTGTAAGAGAAAAAAGCCCCTGTGAGTTTTGTGACTTTTAATATTTGAAAAATATTAACTCCGAAGCCACTCTCCTAAGAACCTTGCGAACTTCTTCAAACACACCGTTTGCCACTCTGTAATCCCCCTGAATGTACTTAAGCGTTATCGATGCAATCTTTTCTGTTAAGTGAAATGCCAAAGCAGTCAGAGATGGTTAGGGAAAGTCTTAACTAGGGGAACGACGCCAATAGCTCATAAATATTAGCCTAGGGTAGACATCGATTTACAGCTTCAGCTCTGGGAGAACATTCCCAATATCTCACTTATAGTTACTTTGGCGAGGATACTTTTGACTCTATCAAGTATTATGAAATCAAAGGGCTCACTACTGTATATACCCTCTTTTTTGTTTGATACCAAATTTGAATTTCTGAAAACAAGCTAAGATCACGCAACTGGCTGGGCCACGCGCCAACCAAATCCTTACATATAAGAACAGCAAACCTCGTTCTGCGTACAATTAATTGGCAAAATTATTATCGATCTGTTTTTGCATTTCTCGGGAGAAACTACAACAGCCTGCGGTTGTGCTGTCGTGTGAACAAAGGGCAATATGGGATAACCCGAACAAACCGCCCTAGGAAATGACCATGAATCAAAGCTTAATGAAGTCACTCCAATGTACACCTTTAGAATGTAATGACATATGAAACGGGCATCCAAACTTTCAAAGTTTACGGCACTGTTAACGTTTGCCGCCTGCCCAGAATCAGACTTCCTCAGAATAGATTTTTATTTGCTGACATTTTAGTCTCCTGAATTTTGGAAGTAATCTTTGGGTAAGTCAGTATAGTAAGTCAACAACATTGTTGGCAACTAGCTCTTTAAAGGAGCATGATCATAAGGATAGTAGCATGATGAATTCTTGTAGCAATTCTGCTTTAGAACCATAAGTTGTTTTGTTTGATCTCTGCCTGTTTATTGATATCTTTCAAAAGAGAATCCAGTGCTTGAAGGGATCAACACTTCAGTCACGCACGTTGAAGAATCAACCACACTTTTCCATGACAGTAGGAGTACTCCCTATAGCCTAAATATATATCTGTATATGATGTGTAATATTTCTTCCAAACTCACAAACTAGATCTCTATAGAAAGCCTTTTGTGGGTGTGCAGAAGCTAGGCCAAAAAGGAAAATAAGATATGGATGTCATTGGCCGTTTGATTATTCCATTTTACACCACTGCACAGAGAAATTGCAAAGAATATTAGACTTCTGACAACAGCGAAGAAAATCAGACATACAAGAACACCGTCAGCCAAATATCGGTTTTCTATGGTGGCGACAAATTGTATTTTAACGATGGCTTCGGTTTTACCAGTGCCTTGATTTTTGTTTGATTTTCTGATTGTGTATACATAAATGATGCATACGTGTCTCCAATAC